ATATCAAAGTGGGAAAAATTCGAGAGGGGGAGCAGAAGAGTGATTCACAGGTGGTGGTAGTTTAAAGTCAGAAGTCAGCTGCCGGTTCATAGAAATTTTTGCCGTATGAGTATACATTGCCCGGGATGCACCACTTGGAGGTAAGTCTATCGCACACCCCACTTCACAAATATAAAATGTGACCAGTGAGTTGGGTAAATGAATTAAGATACGGCGCCTCTCATAAACAGGGGTATCTAAATCTGCCCCTGCATTCATCTCGCATTTGTACACTTTTACTAACGGTTATAGGTTTGGTAATAGAGGACGTCGAATGAAGAGCGACGAAGGTACTGATTGGAAGGTTCGTGCATTATCTTGGTCAACCAAAGCCATGACAACGACGCGATAATAGCCAAACACCTGCACTCGATTATCTAATTAGCAATTTCACCTCATTGCAAGCACTTTGAATATTTGAATATCTTGCGAGACATAGGCAACCACCAGAATGTAAGTTAGAAAATGTTACATAAATCTGGCGACAGCCATCAAATAAGGCCCTTTTAAATCTTAAAATTAAATTCGGTGCGTTTTAGTTCCTTCTAAACGAAAATGGAGTCAGGCCAATATTCGCCTCTAACTCGTCAGTTTGGATTTGTTATGAATATATCATCTTAAAATAATCTCTATACATTTTGCTGGGCTATTTAGTTTTTAACTGAACTTGATACGTGTAAAATCTCTGGCAACGAATCCCCTTAATTTTTTAAAAATAATTCTGCTTTCAGGTTTAAAATTGTTCAATTTGGGGAAAGAAGGTTGATTTAATGCTTTTACCTCAAAGCATTTAGAACTGTAAAATAGCATTCACTTGCCTCTTTTCCTAACTTAGCGACTTCGATGGTGGGTAATGAAAAAGTAAGCCATTTGACTAATGAATTGGCATTGATTTGCATAATTCCTTCTATTTAAAATATTCTTTACCTCTTAACTTCCAGACTTGGAAGCGTTCTTTTACGAATTCGGAAATTGTGCGCGAGAAGCAGCGTCAAATTTTACTCCTAAAGGAAAGTCATCGTCAGACGGTTAGTTTTCGCATTTTTTCCAAAAAGCAATTACAGTCAAAATGTTTCAAGATGTACTTGAATTTTAGTAACTTCCACACATTCACTGATTTTTTAATTTTATTTTTTGTTAGCATAACGTGAGTCAGGAAATCGGCACCTTCTTGTCCCAAAAAATGTTCATTTTTGGTCTATCTTTTCTACTAATAAGGGTAATATAGATATATGAAATTATTATGAGGAAACATATTCGCTTTTGATCTGATAAAAAACTTGTTGTAGGAGTTATTCGGGGAGAAAGATTTGTAGCGGAGATTACACCAATAAGCCTAGACTAAACCGCCCAAAATCAATTAAGCCGCCTCTACAGCGGGTGGCGTGAGCAGCGTTTATCACAATCTGTGGCCAGTGACTTAAAGCTTAGTCATTAAAATACGATTAGGCCTGCTCTGCTTTTCAGCGACTCTTGATTGCTGGTTAGTTGAAAAGTTTCTACACTCATGACCGCACCAGTTCACAACATGATCAGCGATATGCTCGAACTTTCTCCCTATTTGAGTGCGCATGACATTTCTTTGTTCAGCCTCGTGCATTCCACAGATTTGTATTAATAAGTGGGACAATTGGAGAGTAGCTGAGTGGCCAATTTCCCTTATTAATTTAAAGTATTTTTAACCAATATTACTAGAGTTCATTGAGAAATTGCCGATTTCGCAACTGTCGGTAGTCCTAATTAAAGTAAGTTTACTGTCTTATGGGCACTTGAACTAATCCAAGAGAAGAATCCGTTAGAACTCATGTTAGAAGTCATTGGTCAGCATCTGAAATGGCCCACGATTAGTACTGACTCATTTTTTTAAAAATTGTCCATACTGTCTCGATATTTTACATTTTTAATTGCAGCAATGAAATAGGCACGAATATTATAAGCCCTCTTTCTCAAACAATCGTTTTCTTATGTAAACACTTTGTAGCGGATTGCTACGCTAGTAAAGCCTGACTGATTCAGAAATCTCTATGGCAGATCCTCCTACATCTAGCTAGACTCCCAGAACCAGCTAAACCATAGCCCAGCTATAAAGGAAACAGACGAGTAGCACGGAGAATTCTCCAACATCTAGCTAGACTCCCAGAACAAGCTAAGCTATAGCCCACATATAAAGGAAACAGATGTTTAGCACGGAGCACGTTTATTCTACAGAGGATACAGACGTGTAGCACGGAACATTTATTCAGTAGCAAGGAAACAGACGTGTAGCACGGATCACGTTTATTCAGGACGTATATTGCGGATCTAGTGTGTACACGCAGGGAGCTACTCATGTTCAGGATTGGGGATTAGGTTAAACAGAGGTTGATGATTGGTCACTGTTTGTACGGTGGCTGCACACAGAGTTCTAGTGATTGGCCACTGTTTGTACGGTCGCTGCACACAGAGTTGGCCGTACCTCCCAATCCTGGCAGCAGACATGCAGGCATACGATGCACTGTACGGTCGCTGCACACAGAGTTGTACGGCCGCACCTCTTTTTGTTTGTACGGTCGCTGCAGAGGTTATACGGCGCACCTCCCAATCCTGGCGAACTGCACACAAAGTTGTACGGCCGCACCTCCCAATCCTGGCCTAGTGATTGGCCACTGTTTGTACGGTCGCTGCACACAGAGTTGGCCGTACCTCCCAATCCTGGCAGCAGACATGCAGGCATACGATGCACTGTTTGTACGATCGCTGCACACAGAGTTATACGGCGCACCTCCCAATCCTGGCGAACTGCACACAAAGTTGTACGGCCGCACCTCCCAATCCTGGCATCTCCCAGTCCTGGCGTGCAGGCATGCGATGACGTGTCCCACAAGGCTTGTCCCGAGGTTCTAGTGATTGGCCACTGTTTGTACGGTCGCTGCACACAGAGTTGGCCGCACCTCCCAAACCTGGGTACGGTCCCTGCACACAGAGTTGTACGGCCGCACCTCCCAATCCTGGCACGCACACAGCGATAACGTGTCCCACTTCTTTCAATATCACTCTCATCGCCGCACATTTTGCCTCATTGTAGATTGACGATAGGCACCGGTACATATTTGATTTGGTAAGCCACAAATTCTTTAAATTTACTTACTCAAATAAAAAGAAAACAAAAAAACAAAATAATACACTTATAAAATATACCAAAATTTATGCAATAATAACAAACTTGTAAAATAAAATTAGTTTCAGCTTCCAATTTCTAAAATTTTAAATTGACTTAACGACGAAGGTAGTGCACCCTGTACTGATTGATGTCGTAAAACTAAAAAATCTAACCCGAGGTATGCAAACTCTTTATCCTCTAGTTATCCAACACATCTCAAGTGCCGGTGGAAGAAGTTGAAGAACAACTACTGACTGATACAAAAGTAAACACAAGCGACTCATTTATGTCCTTCCTCTTTACTAAATTTCGCATTTCATTATCTCATTGTTCCTTCAGTGGCATCTGTTCGACAGCTTTTTCAAATCCCACGGAGATACACCGCTTTTGTGCTTTTACTATCAAGAGGCAAGTCTTTTACTTTACTGGAAGGAGGTGAAGTCTTTTACTATACAAGTGAATACTCAAATCTACCATAACTGACTAGAGCTTCCCTTTGTCAGTGTTTGGACAAGTATAATTTTGCGATTTTTGATATTATTCAATAATATGCTAGTTGATCTTGAAGAGACGTCGTTTACAACTTTTTGTTATCTACCATTTCATTCAGTGTCAAACCCGCAAAAAGAACAAAGGGATTCATTTTTTTATTGCAAACGGGACAAGCGAGGTGAGAAGTAGCCGCATTAATTAGTGGTGCTTTTATTTGCTTCCTAACCGAACATTTGTATTTACAATTCAGGCTCTGAGTGGAAGCGCTTTTTTCTTCCTGCGAGCCTCCGATAAGGAAATAACTAGTTCAAATGTAGCTGAAGAGATAATATTCCAATTCCACAATGCTCAAACTGGGGGATTCATCAACACAGCACAACTTCTACTGAAAGATATCTATATGCCTGCTTTTGTTAGTAATCAGGTAAATTATATTCACTAAGCAACATTCTCTGGTACATGACACGTATAATCCTAAAATTGGTTAATGGAGCCTTCAATTAGAGCAACCACCAAAGATGAGAATACCCATAAGCACTAGTCGATAGTGACTAGTAAGCGGTTTGGCAAAATGTGGGCTTCTCACTTGTATGTCATTACATTATCTTCCCACCGATACAATTTAATGATGCTCCTTGAGATGTAGGAGAGAGCATCCTTGCTCTCCTTGCAAGTCGTAGCCTTATCACTAGAAAAATGGTCGAACTGGCACTAGGGGGTTTCAGAATATCTATCATATTTGATGGAACATCAACGACTATTACTCATGAAGACAAACAACTCCCATTCCTAAAAGTAGTCTCAAGTTTCCCATAATACCTATCAACTGTAGACGATGCTGCTCTACACAGCTTGGTCTGGGTTCAGTGTCCCTCAGGCACCAATTATAGGGTAATAACTTAAAGTGAATAGTCTTGGCAATCAATATGTTTAACTGCAATACCGTTTTCATTTACTTGGTCATATTCATCAATAACCTAGCAATATGTCGAGTACGTCTAGGCTATGTTGGATGGCAACTAGGCTCTTAACGCCACAATAGTCAAGAAGGTTTGATCCCATCACTTATTATTTGCTTGGTACTGACAAAGTAAGAGGTGGCTAATTTGTTTATCTGTATAATTTAATCTATTTTAACAAAAATCTATTAATTCGCTTAAGTAAGACAATATTTGGATAGAGGGATTTAAAGATCTCATTATTGAACTTTCGAAAGGCGAGGGAAATTAAAATAGGGGTATTCTTTACTGGAAATTAAATGCTTCTCCGAAGTTCCAATACCCACTTGTGTCTCTAAAGTGGGACGCTGATTTTCCAGGGACGTGGAGGGTGGTGAACTGGAAGCTGTCGCGTGTTTTGTTGCCTCCTTTTTCGTCTTTAAGGAAGAGGATTCGGTTTTTTTACCGTGTGATGTTGCTATTACCTCTAGTATTGTTAGTCCTTCATCTTAGTCAAAGTCCACTTTCTTTTAATAGGACTGGGGGAACCTGGAAAATGATCCAGAGCAAAGGAGACAATTGGTCAATGAATTCATGGATACCACGAAAGAATATCTTCAAATTTTAGAACAAATTAAAAATGACTCTGGACTGAACTTCCTCTCCATTCCATCAAAGGGTGACAAAGATCTCATAGAAAGTATTGATGAAAATTGCGCTGATTTGAAAAGTAAACTTATAAATTTGAAGAGCGTAAATTTGGTGTAGTTTAATAATTATTGCAGCTTGACTTTAAGAACTTCATATTATTCACGATTTATAAAGTGAATCTAAGCACCATCGACCATTAACTAATGTATTTAGGTACGAATCTGGTGTAATCAAGGAGATCACCAATGATGACGGCATACAGACACTTACTTGATCAATCCAATTTTTGAAACCTGTTGTGATATCCATCATCATTTCATTTATATTGCAATTTCCCTAAAAGTCATTTTGATTTTAGGTATTTCA